AAGTTTTTGCGGCCGGGAAGGAAACCAAAAACATTTTTTTTTTTTTTTTTTTTTCCCCCCCCCCCCCCCCCCCCCCCCCAAATTCGTCTGTCCTTCTTCTTCTTCCCTACTTCTTTTCCAATCGATACGTGTATGTGACTGTAGAGCCCTTGAAGGCCAACACGCGCAGGGGTAAAAGAAGACATTAAGATAACGCGAGTTGTCCAGTGGAAGTATCTCGAGACTATCTAGTCATAGCTAACACAGGAGGAACAGTCTCTGGTGTTAAGACCAAGATTGAAAAGCAAAGGGAGTATTCCAGCAATTTCAGGAAGTATATATTATATATATCTATATCTATCTATCTATCTATCTATCTATCTATCTATCTATCTATCTATCTATCTATCTATCTATCTATCTATCTATCTATCTATCTCTCTCTCTCTCTCTCTCTCTCTCTCTCTCTCTCTCTCTATATATATATATATATATATATATATATATATATATATATATATATATATATATATATATATATATATATAAAAGATTTCTGTCCCCAACCCCTCACCTCCTCTGCCCCCTCCTCTGGGCTCCTGACTCTTTCTGCAGCCTTTCTACTGCTCCTCCTGGCTCCTCCTGATCCTTACTGCTGTCTTTCTGCCACACCCCTAGTTCTGATCTTCTGGTAGGAAAGATCTACACCTAGCCTTCTCGGACAAGGGCGAAAAATCTAGGAGGGTCCGTGTGCCAGTTGTGCACGTTAAAGATCCCTTGGTGGTCAAAAATCGGTAAGAGTAGGCTTCGGCCGCCACCCGAGCAAAATTCAAAATGTCCTACCAACTGAAAATATTAGGTGTGTCCTGCGCGCTCATATGACCTTATGCAGTTGCGAGCGCCGTAAAACACTTACCAAAAAATGTTTTTATATATATATATATATTTATATATATATATATATATATATATATATATATATATATATATATATATATATATATACAATATATGTATATATATAAAGACAAAACAAATAGGGTACGAAGATCAACATTTTCAAATTTAAAAAGTGTATTGTTGTAGGCCCCTATGGATCAGAAACGTGGAAACTAATAAAGCAGTTGGTAAACAAATTTTTATTATAGTTCTTCATCAATGGTTATCTGAGGAAGATTATAAAAATCCACTGGCTAAATACCATCAGAAATGTAGTGGAGGCGAAACAAACAACAACGAATTGACCGTGAGATTAAAAAAAAAAAGAAGGTGGCGATGGCTTGGACTTACTCGAAGCTAGCCAGCCCACGCGTGACTTAACCCTATATATCCGTACGTCGGGTTTTACTATCGTATCCATACATGGGGAACTCTGTGCCACCACTTTCCAAATAGGAAATTTACTCGTTAATCCGATATCCGTACGCTTTGCATAGCAGTTTGTCAAAATGATTTTTTGAGAAATACTGAAAGTTTCAAAGAGATCTTCGCACTAGAAGTATTCTAAGATATGAAGAATACAACCCTGGGGGTACAAAATGACCCCAGGGCGTACGAATAAGGTTAAAACATTACAATATAGAACCCCCAGTGAAAGAGAAAAAGATCGCAGGCAGAGGCATATATTAGTGCTGGGCGGCTAGGTTCCCGACTATTGAAAGCTAGGAATCGTCGGAATATCCGAACCCAATTACTTACTTTCTAATGATGTGATTTTTTTCCCGGTGGTTTCCATGGTTGGCTCCGAACGTCTTCAGGATTTAGGTTAACCTTGATTTCGGAACACTACGAAGCATCAACTTTTATTTTTCAAAAATACATTCATTAAAAAAAGAAATTTTTAATGATAAAACCGCTGGTTTACGTAAAAAAGAGAAGGAACTTTACATCCGTAGTATTAATCGTGGGAATCGGTTCCGGAATCGACTCTTCGCCCAGCTCTAGCATATATATATGGGCATATATAACTGGCTGGAGGTGGCATAGATCACTCAGAACAGAGACAGGTGGACAGCTCTTATGGTTTATTTAGCCTAAATGACAAAGCTATCAAGACACTCTGGAAATGTTATTGAAGGACTTCAACAGTGATCCCAGACCCTTGATATGGGAGAGCCAAATACAGAGCGGCAACGACAGTGGACAGCCAGCAGCCACAAATCGGAAATCCTGAGACCAAGAGAGGCCCGCAAGCTGTGCACTGACACAAATTGAAATTACGCTGTTACATGTTCAAAATGTGGCAACAACAAAAATCGTCTGTCCGAATTGGTCTCATTTGTCATATTTGACGAGACAAATAATCTTTATTAATTGTTTAAATATTATTTTTCTTTAAGAATTATTCACTGCAGAGATGCATTATGGTCATCACCAGACATTGACGAACGAACTATTATAATACATCATCATCATCATTATTATTATCATTTAAGAAACTCTTCATTTCCAAACATGGCCATCGGAGTACTGTTCGGCACTTGGACCCCCCCCCCCCCCCCCCCCCCCCCCAACAGCCAC